CCACTGTGTTAAGTACTACCGTGCATCTTCCTTTGTCAGCAGGTAAGATAGTGATGTTTTGATCCTTGCTCAGAGATGTCACAGCCTTGGCCGATTCTGTTGCTGTGATGAGGCCCACTATAGGTAGCTGCTATGGTGGAATGGCAAAGTTTAATCCTTTGGCCAGAATGTCTTTCTCTGGTTTGGCGAGTTCCCTATCTGACAGGTTTTACACCCATCTGTTGTCTGTTTCATGTGTTGTGGAGTTTTTGTCCTTTCTCCTCCAAGACAATTTTCCTGTTTTGTTAGTACTGCTCGCTCCGGACTGTAGGTTTTGGAATTTCCGGGTCTGTCTTTCTTTGCTCTTGTTGTGCTGAGATAGCTGTGCTTTCTTGATAAAATCCATGACCTTTTCCAGTGCTGTACTGGGCAGATACGCCTGGATCACGCCTGGATTATTGAAACAGCCTTTTCACTTGTTTAACCCAAAAATCTATTGATCGACTCCAGACTGTCCAGAACTCAGCTGCCAGGTTTTTAACCAGAACAAAGAAATATGACCACATTACCCCTATTTTAGCTTCATTACACTGGCTCCCAGTATGTTTTAGAATTGACTTTAAAATTATATTGATTACTTTTAAAGCTCTTCATGGCTTTTTGTCCCATACACACCAGCACGTACCTTGAGATCCTCTGGCAGAGGTCTGTTGTCTGTTCCAGAGTCTCGACTGAAAACTAAAGGGGACAGAGCGGAAGAGGAAATCAGGTCAGCTGAGTCAGTGAACTCTTTTAAGTCCCTTCTTAAAACATACTTTTATAGGAGACCCTTTCCCAATCTTATTTGACTTTATTTTATCCCTTTTATTTTATTCTATTTTACTCATTTTATATTTATCTACTATTTAGACTTTTCAATGTTTTCTTGCTTTTATCTTTTATTGTTTTTTATTGTCTTTTGGGTATTATTGTCTTTACACTTGTTAAAGCACTTTGTAACTTGTTTTTGAAAAGTGTTCTACAAATAAAGATTATTATCATTATTATTATTATTATTTGTAACGGTGGGAGACAGAACGGACCCAAACGCAACGCTGAGGGTTAGAAAAAGAGGTTTATTGAGGAGAAGGGGGTTCGAGGCGAGGGCGGGTGGAAGGAGGGGGAGAGGCTGACGAGGACACGGGGAACCGAGAAGCTGGAGGAACGGACGGCACTGGAGGAACAGAGGACCCCCCGGTTTGTCTGGGTGAGCGTGGTAGAAGTCGGACAGGAGAGAAGGATCTAGGATCTGACTGGCAGGGATCCAGGAGCGCTCTTCTGGGCCGTAGCCGGCCCAGTCCACCAAGTACCGGTAGCCTCAGCCTCTACGTCGCACGTCCAGGAGGCGGCGCACAGAGTAAGTGGGGTGTCCGTCGATCATCCGGGGAGGGGGAGGCGCTGCCACTGGTACAGAGAGGGAGCTGGTGGAGACGGGCTTGATCCACGAGACGTGGAAGACCGGGTGGACTTTCAGGTGAGGGGGGAGTGTCAGGCGAACTGCGGAGGGGTTGATGACGGCCTCGACGGGATAGGGGCCGATGAACCGGGGGGCGAGTTTCTTGGACGAAGTTTGCAGGCGGTTGTCGAGATCAGTGGCTACCTCGACCAGAGCATCGAGACCCTCCGGGGCGTCCCTAACGGCCAGCAGGTCTTTAATCCGGTTATTGAGGCCGTCCAGGAACACGCACCGGAGAGCCTCATTGTTCCAACCCGAGTTGGCCGCCAGAATACGGAAATCCACCGAGTACTCCGCCACGCTCCGATCACCCTGGCGGAGGGAGAGGAGGCGACCAGGCGTCTCTCTCCCTCGCACCGGGCGATCAAAGACTCTCCGCATCTCCTCAACAAAGGAGGAGTAGGAGGAGAGAACGTGGGGCTGGCCCTCACTGACGGGTGCGTACCAGGCCAAAGCCCGGTCGCGGAGTAACCCAGCGACGTAACAGATCTTAGCCTCGTCGGATTGGAAAGACACTGGTTGCCTCTTAAACACCAGGGCGCACTGAACCAAAAAGCCGTCACACGCGCCCAGAACGCCGGAGAACTTGTCAGGCTGGGAAACGGGTGACTCGCGGGGAGAGTACGCACCTACTGGGGCGCTTGGGACAAAATCGGCGGAGAGCGAACGAGGAGGAGACTGAGAGGGGGACAGAGGGCGTGTGGAGCAGGGGTCGGGGAGCCGCGCACTGAGACGCCGCACCTCTTTTCAGCACTGTAGCCAGGCGGACAGAGAGTCACAGCTCTATTGAGCCAAGTATTCCCATAGCTCTCAGTAGTTACGATTTCATGAGCTTCTTTAATAATAAAATTCTAGCTATTAGAAACAAAATTCACCAAGACCTGCCCTCAATTGGCACCGACTTATCTCTTAACTCAGGAACCTTAGAAACAGCTGTAGAACCAGATACATGTTTAGACTGTTTTGCTTCCCTCAATCTTTACCAACTAACTTCAATAATTTCTTCATCTAAACCATCAACCTGCCTCTTAGACCCCATCCCGACTAGGCTGCTTAAAGATGTTCTACCCTTAGTCAGCACCTCTATACTAGATATGATCAATCTATCTTTATCAACAGGCTATGTACCACAGTACTTTAAAGTAGCTGTAATTAAACCTCTTCTGAAAAAGCCCAAACTTGATCCGGATGTTTTAGCCAACTATAGACCTATATCTAACCTTCCATTTCTCTGTAAGGTTCTGGAGAAAGCAGTTGCTAAACAGCTGTGTGACTTTCTACAGAGAAATAGTTTATTTGAGGATTTTCAGTCAGGATTTAGAGCTCATCATAGCACAGAGACAGCACTGGTGAAAATTACTAATGACCTCCTTATTGCATCAGACAAAGGACTTGTCTCTGTACTGGTTTTATTAGATCTTAGTGCTGCATTTGATACCATTGACCATCAGATCCTATTGCAGAGACTGGAATATTTCATTGGCATTAAAGGAACCGCTCTAAGCTGGTTTAAGTCCTATTTATCAGATCGATTTCAGTTTGTACATGTTAACGATGAGTCCTCCATGCACGCCAAACTTACTCATGGAGTTCCTCAAGGATCTGTCCTTGGACCAATCCTCTTCACTTTATATATGCTTCCTTTAGGCAATATTATCAGGAAATATTCCATAAGCTTTCATTGTTATGCAGATGATACTCAGTTATATCTATCGATCAAGCCAGATGAAACTCATCAGTTAGCTAAACTTCAAATGTGCCTTCAGGATGTTAAAACCTGGATGACCTGTAATTTTCTAATGTTAAACTCAGATAAAACTGAAATTATTGCTCTGGGGCCTAAGCACCTCCGTGACGCATTATCTAAAGATATAGTTTCCCTTGATGGCATCGCCCTGGCCTCCAGCACCACTGCGAGGAATCTTGGAGTTATCTTTGATCAGGACATGTCGTTTAAGTCTCACATTAAGCAAATTTCAAGGACCGCCTTTTTTCACCTACGTAATATTGCGAAAATCAGGAACATCCTGTCTAAAAATGATGCAGAAAAACTAGTCCATGCATTTGTTACTTCTAGGCTGGATTACTGCAATTCCATATTATCAGGCTGCTCGAAAAAGTCCATTAAGACTCTTCAGCTGATCCAGAATGCTGCAGCACGTGTTCTGACAGGAACCAGGAAAAGAGATCACATTTCTCCTGTTTTAGCTTCTTTGGCTTCTTTCTTCTTTCTTCTACTGGCTTCCAGTAAAATCCAGAATAGAATTTAAAATCATTCTTCTTACCTACAAAGCTCTTAATGGTCAGGCACCATCTTATCTTAAAGAGCTCATAGTACCTTACTACCCCACCAGAGCACTGCGCTCCCAGAATGCAGGGTTACTTGTGGTTCCTAGAGTCTCCAAAAGTAGACTAGGAGCCAGAGCGTTCAGCTATCAAGCTCCTCTCCTGTGGAACCAGGTTCCAGTTTGGGTTCAGGAGGCAGACACCATCTCCACATTTAAGAGTAGGCTTAAGACTTTCCTCTTTGATAAAGCTTATAGTTAGGGCTGGCTCAGGTAGTCCTGAACCATCCCTTAGTTATGCTGCTATAGGCCTAGACTGCCGGGGGATTTCCCATGATGCACTGAGCTCCTCTCTCCTCTACTTTCTCTCCCTCTGTATGCAACCTCATCCCATTATTGCATGTTACTAACACAACTTCTCCCCTTTCTGGTAGTCTTGTGCTTTCTCGTCTCTCTCCTCTCTCCTATCACTTCCTGCAGGTTTTCTGGCTCTGGAGCTGTGGAGTCTGGATCTGTGGCTGCGGGTCACCTGCTGCCCCTGTGTTCCTGCTCGACACCCTCTGCTGCAACGACTATTGTTGCTAGTCTTATTGTTATTATTGTTATTATAATCATTAACATTACGATGGTTACCATTAACACTATTATAAATATCTGTACCATTTTTCATTTAGTCTATAGCAACATTACCTTCACTGTGTGTACCTCTGTGTGTATATTGTGTAGGCTGCCTCCCTCCCCTCTCTCTCTCCTTACATCTCTCTCTCCTATCTCTCTCTCTCTCTCTCTCTCTCTCTCACCCCAACCGGTCGAGGCAGATGGCCGCCCACCCTGAGCCATGGTTCTGCTCGAGGTTTCTGCCTCTTAAAAGGAAGTTTTTCCTTGCCTCTGTCGCCTAGTGCTTGCTCTTGGTGGGAACTATTGGTAAATAACATCACAGAGTACGGTCTAGACCTGCTCTTTTATGAAAAGCGCTGTGAGATAACTGTGTTGTGATTTGGCGCTATATAAATAAAATTGAATTGAATTGAACCTCCTCGCCCAGGGAGCAGAGCGCATCGGACACCGACTGGAGCCGGGCCGCATGCTGATCGAGGACCGCTCCCTGGGAGGCGACGGCGCGGATGACTTCCAGCGGAGTGGGGTCGGTCGAGGGGGGAGGAGAGGGGGAGCGTGCTGGGTCCACAGTGGCTCGATCGTTCTGTAACGGTGGGAGACAGAACGGACCCAAACGCAAGGCTGAGGGTTAGAAAAAGAGTTTATTGAGGAGAAGGGGGTTTGAGGCGAGGGCGGGTGGAAGGAGGGGAGAGGCTGACGAGGACACGGGGAACCGAGAAGCTGGAGAAACGGAGGGCACTTAGGCTGGAGGCTTGAGGGAGGCTGGCAGACGGATAGGAGAGGGCGCGGAGACTGGGGGTCCAGAAGGGGTGCGAGAGGGGAAGCCGGAGGGCGTCGTGGAGGCGGCAAGAGGAGGAGGCAGGCGAGCGAGCCCGGCTGGCCGAGCTGGGAGGCAGAGGTGAGTGAACCTGGCAGGGGGAAACATAGAGACAGGGTTAGTAGGCAATGGGGACGTGAAGCAAGAGGGAATTTTAGAAAGAGCCAGAACGAAGCGGCGACACCAGGTCTGGAGCTGCGACGATCGAGCGAGGATGGTGTGGAAAGCCAGGGTAGATATACTGGTTGTGATGAGGCTGATGGCTGGCAGGTGCGGCGGCTGGGGATGGAGGTTAACGAGGTGCAGGTGTGGGTAGCCAGCCGGTCTCCGGAGCAGGGAGGGAGAGAGCACACACAGAGAGAGAGAGATGGCACAGGAGAAACCAGAATGTGAGGGAAATGAGAAACAGGACATTCACCAACAGCCGGGCTGCCACCGCGACAATTGTTATTATTATTATATGTTTCTAGTCTGTGGTGTATGTTGTCCAATTCTTTGTTCAGGGCTTCAATGGTGAAATGTATCTGTCTCACTCTCTCATTCAGTAGCTAGTGTTGCACTTTCTCCAGGATTATTCCGGCTCTGTGTCCTTTCACCGTGGAGCCTAAATGTAGGCTGTTGGGAATAAGTTTGTGTTGTCGGCATCTCAGGTTAAATTGTAGATTGTTCCTGTAGTCTGCAATTTTCCTGGCTGTCCTTTCATACTCCTGTACCAATCTGAGGGTTCATCCCAAAATGATTAGCAAGATGTCTGTGAAGATTCTCAGTCATCCAAGTCATAGTTATCCAACGAAGGTTAAAGTCAAGGGCAACTGGACTTGGTTGAAGATACTGGAAAACGTTTCGCCCTCATCCAAGGGACTTCTTCAGTTCTGACTGACTGGTAGGGAAACTCGTCTATTTAACCTCAGTTGGGTCGTTTGCCAGGATCGTCGATACCACTGGTTCGTTAGTGTTCCTGGCTGTTACGGTCGTTAGGACTACCCGTGGCCAAGACTGAACAACCATCGTTGGTATCTTCACCTGAGGCCAATAGGTTACGTTTGTTGAGTTTCCTGGGAAGTGATGAAAGGACAGCATTGTAAGTGGGGGATAAGTGGTGGCGTAGACCCCCTCCCCTGTTCAATGACGGCTTCTCAACCCGGGTGTAGATGTCGACATCAAAAACACTACTAAAACTTTTCTTAAGAACATCTCCAGACTCCGACAGTGCCTCTCCAACTCTGTCGCTGAGACCCTCATCCACTCTTTCATCACCTCCTGAATTGACTTTTGTAACAGTATCCTGTTCTGTCTGCCCCGCAAGGCTACTGACAGATTCCAGTATGTCCAGAACTCTGCGGCTAGGATGCTCACCCACACAAAACTTGGACTTCACATCACTCCCATCCTGAAGAAGCTTCACTGGCTACCAGTTAAGTCACGGATCAAATATAAAATCCTCCTACTGACGTACAAATCTCTCCATGGACTTGCATCAGTATCTCACTGATCTACTCCATCCCTACACTCAGTCACAGTCCTTGCGGCCCTCTGACAAGGACCTGCTTGCTGTCCGTAACTCCAGGCTCCGGACATTTGGTGACAGAGATTTCTGTGTCGGTGCACCATCACTCTGGAACTAGCTTCCTCTTGCCATCCGCTCTGCCTCCTCTATAATAACCTTTAAAACCCAGCTTAAAACACACCTCTTCACTGAGGCCTATGGGCTTTAATCTCCCCTGGCCTCACACCTCTTACCCCCCCCCCCCCTTTTTTTGTTTGTTAAGCGTCTTTGGGTTTGTGAAAGGCGCTATATAAATCAAAGTTATTATTGTTATTATTATTATAAGGACACTTTTGCACATGCTCTCAATAAAGCATGTGCTGCAGTGTGTGTGTGTGTGTCCCGGTGTTTGATCTGCATTCATAAACCTATGGACGCTTATTTTAATTTCCCTGAGTAAATTCAGGGCAATCTGATCACGTTTATGACGGCTTTTTCAGAGGTGTGTCAAGCAAGCCAGAGACTCTTGAATGTCCTTCAGAACTTTTCAAAGTAAAAGCTCTCAATAAACTTAATATAAAGCATTGCTGCGCTTTTATTTTGGAGACACAATCACTTAAGAGGAAGTGATTATGTAAGTAACTGTAGTATTTATTTATTTTTTATTTTTCTGCTATCAAAGCAATCTGGCCACAGGACCAGATATTGCTGACCACTGACATAGGGAGTGCCACGTATGCCACATATGTGAGAGCAACACATTCTCATCTCAATGCGTCATAACTGACGCTTTCAGACAGCGTGACAAAGCGTAAGGGTTTTACGCTAAAGGTACCCTTCAGCATCCGTATGAAACGCACCCGTTTGCTACGTTGCAGCAACACAAGGGAGGCTAACCCTACCTACCCTAGGCCGATGTGCGCAGCTGTAGGGTTAGCCGGTTGACATGCATAAATTCAGTGACTTAGGTTTAGGTACTAACATTTCTGACGGTTGTGGTAAGGGTAGGGGCTGTCAACACCTTTATCACGAACGTACCGCTAGCTAACTAGCACTTCCGGTTTGTACGGGACGCCCCAGAGCATCTCATAGAGACGCTTCCGTCTCATAGAGTGGTCAAATAACTACGCTTTGTCACACTTTCTCAAATCGTCGGTATATGATGCCCTGAGATGAGAATGGGCTCGTGAGAGAAAATGAAACAAGGGAGCAACACCTTGAAATATAGATGACAGTCAATAATAGTCGAAAAAAATTTTGTTGTCCTTTGAAGACAGACAATGTAATATCAGCTGTCAAGACTAGTACTTAAAGTTTAAGATGTGTGTAGCAGATGATGTGGAGCAACCTGTTCTCATCTCAGGCGTCATATATCCATGCTTTGAGATGCCTGAAGGGCGCTCCAGGATCTGCCCCAAGCACAGTCAGTTGGTGGTAGAGAGACACGTGACGTTGTTGACAAGATGAATGCAGACCTTAAGACCGACACAGGCTTTCAGCTTTGGCAAGCTGGATGCAATGATTTAAATATCTTACTTTGCTTCCCATGCTTACTTTTTAAAACGGCGGAGACGGATACAACATAGCCTGTTCCAGGAGTAAACAACATGATACATTTATCATTTATCTGAGAAGATTAAGAAACACGAGTGTATGAGGGATACATGGATACATTTACATTACATTTACTCATTTGACAGACGCTTTACATTTGAGGAACAACATACAAGCATCAACAGAGCATCAAATATAGATCTACAACTGACAATACATACTAGTAAGAGCAGCAATAAATACTAGTAAGAGCTCATAGTACATATCACATCAATGGGGTAAATACCTAGGGAAGGAAGTAAGAGTTAACAAAAAGTGCAATCAAAAGAAAAAAGTGCAATCAATACAAGATAATTTTAGGGGATAGAAGAAGAGCATAGGAAGTGCAGGTTAGAGGTTAGGAGTTAGAAGTGTTATAAGAGGAAGTGTTCTCAGAAGAGATGAGTTTTCAAGAGCTTCTTGAAGTTAGAGAGGGACGCCCCCTGCTCTGATGGCGTGTGGTAGCTCGTCACAGACGAGAATTGCTGGGACTGGGATTGCTTTGTGTAAAGGGATGGCAGAGCCAGGCGGCGTTCGTTGGAGGAGCGTAGCGGGCGAGAAGGAACGTAAGTTTGTATTATGGAGTTTAGGTAGATGGGTGCAGACCCAGTAGTCACTCTGTATGCAAGCATTAGTGACTTGAATTTGATTCTGGAGGCCACGGGGAGCCAGTGGAGGTCACTGAGTAATGGAGTGACATGAGTCCTTTTGGGCTGATCAAAAACCAGACGCACTGCTGTGTTCTGAATCATTTGTAAGGGTTTCACCGCACAAGCTGGAAGACCTGCTAGGAGGGCATTGCAATAGTCGAGGTGAGAGATAACCATGGCCTGTACCAGAAGCTGGGTGGTGTACTGAGTGAGGTAGGGCCTGATTTTCCTTATGTTGTATAGAGCAAAGCGGCACGACCGAGAGACAGCAGCAACATGGTCTGAAAAGGACAGCTGGTCATCAATCATGACATCCAAGTTTTTCACCACCTTGGTTGGAATGAGGGTTGAGGAGTCAATTTGTAGTATGATGTTATGGTGGATAGATTGCTTGGCTGGAATGACCAAGAGTTCAGTCTTACAGAGGTTTATTTGAAGGTGGCAAGCCTTCATCCATGCAGATATTTCCGAGAGACAGTCCGTGGCAGTGGGAGGAGGATAATTTTCCTTGCCACAAAACATTGTAGGAATGCCCCGAGGGGTAGGATTCAAACCAAAGGAGTGCTTTACTCGAGATGCCCATTGCTGAGAGCAGATAGCAGGATCCTGTGGTTGACTGTGTCAAAGGCAGCTGATAGGTCAAGCAGGATAAGAACAGAGGATTGGGCTGCAGCTTTAGCTGACCTTAGGGCTTCTGTTACAGACTTGAGTTGGGTCAAGGGAGGGCTTTTTGAGCAAAGGTGTAACCCGAGCCCTTTTGAAAGTGGTCGGGAAGGTTCCTGAAGCCGGAGAAGTATTTATCACGAGTGATTGTCGGGAAGACGGTAGGAGAAATGGCTTGGAGAAGATTCGTAGGAATCGGGTCCAGTGGGCATGTAGTTGGACGACTACAGGTCAAGAGTTCTGATACTTTGCTCTCTGTGAGAGGAGTAAACGAGGAGAGTGAAGAACCACTGACCTGGGAGGGCAGAGGAAAAGATGTAGTGGGACTGCTACAATGGTTGAGTTTGAATGTTTCAGAGAATTGGCTAGTTATAGGCAGCAATGGTATCAGCAGACAAGTTTGTGGGTGGTGGAGGAGGATTTAGTAGCGCTTTAAAAGTGGAAAATAATTTCCTTGAGTCAGTGGCACTGCTAATTCTGTTATTACAGAACGCAGTTTTGGCAGCACTGATGCTTGTTGAGAAGGAGGACAGGAGCAATTGGTAGCCCTTAAGGTCGGCGGGGTCTTTGGTTTTTCGCCATTTTCTTTCAGCAGCTCTGAGATCAGTACGGAGCCCACGGATGGTATCAGTTAGCCACGGGTGGGACTGATTTGGGCCAGCAGACTTGGTGGATAGAGAACACAGGCTATCCAGGCACGAGCTTAGGATAACACGGTGAAGCTAGCTATGCAGTGTTGGGCAGTAGTGTTGCTACTTAAGTAGCGCTGTTACTAGTTAAACTACATTTCTCAGTAGCTTGGTGGCAGCATCGCTATTTTCTGAATCCAATAGCTTTTCAGTAACGAAGATCTTTTATTGACCAAGTAGCGCGGTAGCTTCCCGTACCGTATGTCGACATGTTTACA